TGTAACTGCTGGAGCTGGGCCTATCTGAAGCCAGGAGCCAGGAGCCAGGAGCCAGGAGCTTCTTCCAGGTCTCCTGCCGCAGTTGCAGGGGCCCAAGGACTTGAGCCATCTTCTACTGCTTTCCCAGGCCACAGCAGTGAGCTGGATCAGAAGTGGAACAGCCGGGACTCGATCCGGTGCCCATATGGGATGCTGGCACTGAAGGCGGTGGCTTTACCTGCTACATCACAGCACCGGCCTCTTGTACTGGATTCTTAAAGAATCCACGACCCTGGCACAGGAACACTGTCCTTTCCCGTGATGCTGAAGATGTGCGTTTAGCTTTGCAGCTAGCACAGTGGGTCTCAGAATGAAGCACTCCATCTATGCCATATCCCTTCCACTGAACCAACTTTCACAACGTCCTCATGAAGCCTAAGGGACCAAATGCGAGCCCCAAGAGACCATAGGACCACCTGAGAACATCAATCAATCATTTCTTTTTTACTGAAGCACAAAGAAGGATTTACCTATGTCCGGAAAACAAGTATTAGCATGCAGGCACCCAATGGCAGAGACCCAGTGGCGATGCTTTCTTTTCCAATCAAACAGGGCTCTGGGAGCCTGCAATTCAAGATTCAGTTCGTGCCTGATGGCTTTTGTCTTGTATTCCTCCAACCTAGAGAGTGAGCCTTTCTTTCCCTACTCCCCCTAAAATCCCCATTGTCCCTCTACTCAGCCCAGCTGCCAGATCCCAGATGTGTCCAGGATGTGTGACAATGGGAGGTTGAATTTCTGTCCCAGTGGATTAGGTTAACTATTTGACCACAGTAGTCCAGTGATTCCTCATAGATCGATTGATCAAAGGCCCTTTGACTGTAAATCACCAGGTCGTGTGTTGCTACCACGCAGGTGCTCAGCATCATTGAAACTCCCTGAGGAGCCGGCGCCACGGCTCACTAGGCTAATCCTCCACCTGCGGTGCCGGCACACCAGGTTCTAGTCCTGGTCGGGGCACCAGATCCTGTCCCGGTTGCTCCTCTTCCAGTCCAGCTCTCTGCTGTGGCCCAAGTGCTTGGGCCCTGCACCCACATGGGAGACCAGGAGAGGTGCCTGGTTCCTGGCTTCGGATCAGCGCGGTGCGCCAGCCGCAGTGGCCATTGGGGGGTGAACCAACAGAGAAGGAAGACCTTTCTCTCTGTCTCTCTCTCTCTCACTGTCCACTCTGCCTGTCAAATTTAGCTCCAGGTGTGTCACGTGTGTAATCATAGGCAAGGAATTTAACTGCTCTTCCTTGATTTCCCCACTTATAAAGGAGGAATGACAACAGTGCATAGCTCATAGGATTGTTGTGATTTTTAAATGACTCAAAATATGATAAGCATTTAGAATCATGCTTACACATCATCCCCATCACCTTCCTGGTTTCCAGTCTTTGGAACACACAGCAGAAGTTGAGTGTGGCTGTGAACCCTGCACCTGCTCAGAGCCAGCATGTTATGGCAACTGTCCTACGTCAGTCTCTCTTCACCCTTCACTGTTTTGCTTTGCTTTCCTTATATACATTTTCTCTCCTCTTGGCTTAGCTATATAGACACACATAACACCCACAGAAATGCTTGCATCCACTGATAGAACTTGAAATAAAGTGATTCCTACACTAAAGTTCTCAGTCCTTTCAGAGCTGATCATATTGAGGTTTCAGTTCATTCTTAAATCATCATCCGTGTAACAAATTAGACACACACACACACATATATATATATACAACTACATGTGAACATATACAATTACCTAACAAATCTAATATATACATCTTTTTCAAACACACAACACATACATGATGAAAGGTACTTTTAGAGAAATGTATATCCTTTTAAAGAGAGGTTTACATTTGTGTGTATATGCGGGCAGCCCTCTGCGTCTCATAGTTCCACATCCTGGATTCAACTACCATAAATCAAAACTACTTGGGAAAAAATTCATTCCTCTGAACATGTGCAGACTTCTTTTTATTGTTAGTATTCCCTAAATAGCACCAATTATTTATACAGCATTAATGTTGTATTTAAGATTACAGGTAATGTAGAGATGATTTAAAGGATACAGGAGGATGGTTGCAGGTTCAATGCAAGCACTACATGATTATACATAAGGTACTTGAGCATGCATGGACTTTGGTATCTGTGGGGGTTCATACATCTAATCCCTGATAAACCCCAATTAGTCCTAGAACAAATCCCAAATAAATGCCAGTGTCCACGTGATCTATATATGGAAAGATATTTTTAAAGAAACATATGAGCCTTTTTAAATATCTATTATTTAATTCCTCATAAGCTTACTTAAACTTTTTAGTCATGCATCTTTTGCAGAAGAAAACAAGGAAAATCACACTGAATGATTTCCAACTCAGTTCCATTCTGCAGGCCAGTAAGATTCCTTAGGGTGTGCGTCAGGACTGCTGGGAACCCCAGAACCAGGCTACTGTCCATACTGAAGGAGCCTTCCCAGTGACCACTGGAACTGTGCCAGAACCCAGATCCCTCCTTTCTTTATGAGCACTCTATAACATGGACTCAAAGCAGCATGAGCTAGACTTCAGGCTACCAACTAAACACTAGTTCTTTAGACTATTAGGGCATAATGAATATTCTAAGTCACAGAAAAAACAGGCATCCATGTTGGAGTGACTGGAGTTGGGACAATTGTATGTTCCCTGCTAACCTGAGAGACCTGAGCTCCTGGCAGCAAAAGATTGACTTGAGTCCCTTCCCAGGCCAGGCACAGGTCCATGCCATGGGATTGACAGACAAGGAGAATGACTCAGGGACTGTGTTCAGAGACCTCACCCAACCTCCATTTTGAAAGGAGTCAAGCTTGTTACCACTGGCCAATTAGCTTCTTGAAGAGGCACAAATAACAAATTACACACACACACACACACACACACATGTGAACATATACAATTACCTAACAAATCTAATACATACATCTTTTTCAAACACACAACAACACATACATGATGAAAGGTACTTTTAGAGAAATGTATATCTCAAGTCTTGGCTTGAGATAGAAGAGACATGGCACGCCTTCCTGTCTGCCTCTTCTTCCATTTGTCGCTGGTCTTACAGAAATGCCTGTGATGGCTTTCATTCCCTTGGCAACATTTGGTTTTGCTTTCCCTGTCATACACTCTGGGAACTACTGGTCTTGTTATGACCCTAAGTGCTTGCAGGTGATGCAAGGGTACACACAAAGCAGCGTTTTCTCTGGCACACCTGCCACAGGCCCTTGGGATAGGCTAGGACAATTCCATTTCATGTGGTTTGTCTTCTTGAAGATCAGCTGATGAGCGTAAGGAATAGCAAGCTTGATTCTGTGGTCCTATTTGTCAACGGTGCCTGAATGATTCATGATGGATGTGGGAAATGGCCAGAGAGAGGGAAGAAGACAGAAAGGCAAAGGGAGGGTTCTTCAGGGGCAGTCATCAGGTGGCATCTGGTCTGGGTGGGCTGAGTCTTCTTGGTTACCAAGGAGGGGCTCCCACTGCCAATAGAACTCTCAAGGACAACTACTCCCCCAGCCTCAGCAGCTTCACGAAGCCCCCTCAATAGCTCAATCATATGCAGGGATGGTGCCAGTGGTCCATACCCGCACCTACACTTCCTGCCAACAGAATCTCACCATCCCCTTCCTTTCTTCCCCTGCCTCTTGTCCTTCCATACCCTCTCTCTCCTGTTCATCCCTGTCTGTAACAGACGCCATTCCCATGGTTAAACCACAATGAGAGGCACTTCTTTTTGAAGAGATCATTGGGTTCTGCCTTTTCATTGAATCCTATTGCCTTAATTTTGGGGCTCAAAGACATAAATGATATCCCACAATTCATGTTTATTAAATGGTTATTTTACGAGTAGAGAGACACACAGAGGGGGAAGGGAGGGGATGTTGGGAGGTGAGGGAGAGGGAGAGGGAGAGAGAGAGAGAGAGAGAGAGAGAGAGAATGCATTCCTATTCCCTTACTTGTGTTCCAAATGCTCACAACAGTTAGACCTGAACTGGGCTGAAACCAGGCGCCAGGAACTCATTCCAGGTCTCCCATGTGTAAAGCCAGACTTCAACTGCTTGGAGCTTCACTGCTGCCTCCCAGGGTCTACGTTAGTGGGAATTTGGAGTCTGGAGTCTGAGCTGGGTGTGGAACCCAGGTACTCTGATATGGGATGTAAGCACCTTAACAATGAGGTCAAAAGCCTGCATCCTTGTACTCCTCTGCCTTTGGCCTTGCCTAGCTCTGGATGTTGAGGACATATGAAGAGTGAATCAGAAGATAGAAGGTACTTCCTCTCTCTCTCTTTCTCTCTCTCTCTCTCTCATAGATGAACAAATAAATAAATACATATTGAAGAACACACTCCAGGGGGCAGCATTGTGATGTAGTGGGGTAAAGCCACTGCCTGCAATGCCAGCATCCCATATGGTCGCCAGCTCATGTCCCAGGTGCTCTAAATTCCCATTCAGTTCCTTGCTAATGGCTTGGGAAAAGCAACAGAAGATGGTCCAAGTGTTTGGGCCCCTGCCATCCACGTGGGAGACCCAGATGAAGCCTCTGGCTTCCAACTGGCCCAACACTGACCATTGCACCCACCTAGGGGAGTGAACCAGCAGATGGAATATCTCTCTCTCTCTCTCTCTCTCTTCCTGTCTCTTTCTTTCTCTCTCTCTCTCAATCTGTGTGTGTATGTGTCTCCCTCTCTGTCTGTGACTATTTCAAAATAAATAAATAAATCTTAAAAAAAATACATCCCACTCTTTCAGAGTAGATGGAAGTGATCAGTGACTCACACCTTTAGTTTCTAGATATGCTCAAAGGACAGTTCCTATTTGTGCAGAATGGGGGGTGGGTCGGTGTGAGGGGGAATGCTCTCAGAGAAGCATGTCTGTGCATTTGCTTGTCAGCAGAGATGTGTGGTGTCCTCGGGGTACATGCTAACGGGTCTGTATCTCTTTCCCCCACACAGGGCCTGGAGCAGTCATTGATGGTGTAAACTCGGCCTCTAGAGCGCTGGCTTGTCTCTGGCTCTCAGGGACTCTCTTTGCCCACTTCTTCATCAAGTTTTGATAAGAAATCATAGGTCCTCTGAGCAACACCTGCTTCTCCATATCACAGACTTTAATCTACACTGCAGAGGGCAAACCAGTTTGGGCTTCTTTTTGTTTGTTTCTGTTTTTCTTCCTGATTTTTTGCTTCTTGGGTTTCTTTTTCGGTTTGTTTGCTTTTGGGGGTTGGTTTGCTTATTTGATTTTGTTTTCCAGCTGGAATGAGTGGGGTTGGGGGGAGGGGCGGGCAGGGTTCTACCACGTGTAGAATAATCATTCATGGGTGTGTCCAAAATGGAATGTGCTCCTGCTACCTTAGCCCTTCTGTTCCCCCTGCTTCTCCCCCCATCATCATAACCACCAGCCTCCCCCACTACCACTACCACCACCACACACCAAACCATAAGTTCCATTTGGGCAAAAAATGTGCCTCATGATAAACACCCTGAAGACACAACTTGACTCAATGTAGTACACAGCAAGGGTTACATCCAAGTGTCCTAGTATCTGTGTCTTAAGCTTCAGATCATTTGCCTAAGTATAATGTACATATCCCCCTCCCTCTTTATTATTGCCTATTTTCACTAGGGTTCACACCTTGTCTTTCTGGGAAGTTATCTCACTATTTCCAAATCCTGCATCTTCTCCAGTCACCCCATCCTATTCATTTTTTTTCCACCAGCTGCAGAGACTGGAGGTCTGGGGCTATGCATGGAACCTAAAACTAAAACTGTAGAAGTCAAGTGACTTTAAAAGGAGGAGGTATTTTGAAGAGAGTGCTTCTCTTTTAAAAACATTATCCTACTCATAAAAGAATGAGCAATAGATGGCTGCTAATTTAGACCTCATCTGGCCATCTATCAAAGCAGTCATGTGACTATGCATCTACTCGATTGTCTGATTTCTCTCTCCATTCAATTATTACCCACCTGTCTTCCTCTCTATTTACTTGATCAAGCTATCAATGTAATAATCTAATC